CAGGCATAATGAAGCCAGGTTTTCGACAGACCATAACTGAAAGGTCTCTAGCCTAGTGTCACCTAGTCTTTGTTCCCTTCTAAAACCTCATGAACTGAGCCTCCATTGTCTGTATTTCTCTCAGTACTCTAGTCTCACAAGATGGTCCATTAACCTCTGCTTACAGCATCCTATGGCCTACAGTTGGCTCCAAACACTTCCTCCTTCCTTCTGCACACCAGCCCAAAAGCCTGTGCAGCACATATGCTCATCACATCGGCCACTCTTAACTTCCAGTTTCTGTATTAGTTTTATTGTTGCTGTGCTAAAGTAGTAGATGAAAGAAATAAAAAAAGAAGGGTTGATTTTTGCCTCATGCTTTGAGGGTACAGTTCATCATTGCAGGAAGGCATGACGGGAGATCACACTGCATCTCCACGGGTGCTGATGCTATTTCTTCTCCTTTTAATTTAGTCCCAGACCTGAGGCCATGGGATGGCGCCACCCACACTGAGGGTGAGTCTTCTTACCTCCATTAACTCAACCTGGAAACTCCCTCACAGCCATGCCCAGAGGACTGTCTGTTAGATGAGGCTAGACCTTGTCGAGTTGGCAATATTAACCATAACACAATGCGCTGCTACTGAAGATGTACCGTGGAGCAGGCGCCTGGAAAACAGCCCGGCCAGGCCTCACACAACTCCACATGAAGCTGCCATATGACCCAAGAGAAATGAGCCATGCCTCTCCAGATGCAAACAAATAGTCATAGCAACATTATTCAGCAGTCAAATGTTAGAAACAACACGGATGTCCAACAGGTGAATTGGTGAACAAAACATCACACTCATGCGAAAGAATAGCTGTGGGTACAGAAAGGGGTGAAGAGCATGCAGATGCTGGGGCCTGGGTCGACCTTGGGAACCTCCCTCTGAACGACAGGAGCCATGTGCAGAAGACTGGACTGTACATTTCCATCCCCACGAAAGCCCAGAGCAGAAGTCTGTAGAGTCGTGGTTGTTTAGGGTTGATATTGGGGTGATGGGATTTCTCTATAATGTAACAGTATTCTAAGATTGACTATGACTGGGGCTGGAGAGACAGCTCCATGGTTCATGTCTATTCAGCTCCCAGCACCCATCTCTGGTAGCACACAACCACCTGTGACTCCAGTATTGGGGGACCTGACGCCCTCTTCTGTCTTCTTCAGGAACCTTACTCGGGTGTACAGCCCCACATTCACAGACACATGGATACACATAACTAGTTGCTCTTGAGTGATGGGCTGGAGACATGGTGAAGCTGTTAAGAATACTTGCTGCTCTTACAGAGGACCCAGTTTGGGTTCCCAATACCTAGATGGCACCTTCAAGCCATCTGTTACTCCGGTTTCAGGGAATCTAGTACCCTCTTCTGGCCTCTGTGGGCATCAGGCACATACACACAGTGCGAACACATACTCACAGGTAAAATACTCAAACACATAAAATGAAACAAGTAAGTCTTTATTTCAAATAAAGTCTTCAAATTATGTGGAATCCATAATTGACTGTGACGCTGGGTTAGGACCCTGTCGTATACTAAAGACAAATGCTTTCAGTGCGTAAATTGGATGGTGTGTGAACTCCACCCCAGTCGCACTGTTCTTTTCAAAAGACCCCATGCCACCTCACACACACCACACAGAGCCACGCTGTCTCAGGTCTATGCCTAGAACTCGCTCATTTTCTGGCTTGGGAGGAACTGATCCTGACTTGAGACTTCTGGGGCCTTTTGACAGTTGGAGATAATTGGCCATTCATGTGCATGGGCAAAGTCCTGCTTTGATCATGGCTAAAGCCACCACACTGAATCACGGGAGTTTGGAGTTTAGAAAAACATCCACCACCCAAAAGCCAGGTTTCCAAGAAAGGAGGTTTAGTTTTGGTCATCTCAGGCTACTCCTGGCACCCACACTTGGCCTTCAGCTTTTCCCCTTTTGGCACACCACTCTCTCGCCTTCCCCGACTCAACAGCCTCTTGCCTCAGCAAACAAAATGGTTGTAGCCTTTCCCCGCTCTCCTGCTTTAGCCCTGCCTCCCTATGAAGGCGCAGAGCCCTCACAGTAGAGTTTAAAGTTCTGTATTACACTCTGGCATGCTGGGGAGGGCAAGTAGGGAGGTGGTCTGCTTCTTCCTCCTGCTCAAGTTACCTGCTTTGCAAGTAGAGCAACTTTGGAAGGAACTCTTGCCTCTACTTGAGGTAAAAATGGCCGTGCCTTCTTTTTCTAGACATTTCTCTAGTGTGTTGCCATACAGAATTTACATGGTTCTTTGTATCCAAACCCTTCAGGATGAGGTGGAGCAGGGGTTGAAAAGTTTTCCTAGTGAATGAATAAGTACTTTATGCCTTCGTTGATTATCTTTAAAGAACCCAGCGTGGAGCCAAGAAAATGGCTCAGCAGCTGAAAGTATTTACCCTGCGAGCCTGACCATCCAAGTGTGTGTGTCTGTGTGTGTGTGTGTGTGTGTGTGTGTGTGTGTGTGTGTGTACAGATGCAGCTAGACATAATGAGTGGTGTGAACCTTTAATCCCAGCACCCAGGAGGCAGAGACAAGCAGACTGCTATGGGTTCGAGACAGTATGGACTATATTAAATTTCAGGCCATCCAGGACAATGTGAACCTTTTCTCAAAAACTATAACAAATAAAAATCAGGTGTAAGTACATATCTGTAATCTCAACAATACTGAGACAGGAAGCCGGGACAGGAATCAGGCCAGATGCTCACAGGCCATCTGGTCTTCAGTGGGGCTGAAATAAGAGAGAGCCTGCCTCTACCAGGCAAAAGAGGAGAACTGACTCCTAAACGTTGTCCTGTGACCTCCACACAAGTGCCATGGCACACACAAGCTCACACATGCATGCACATGCACACACGCATGCACATGCATGCACACGCATATACACACAAGCACATGCACACACACACACACACATACACATACACACCCCAATAAAATAAACATTTTTTAAACTTAAAAACTATTTTTAAAAAGAAGAATCTGATGGGTGGTGGCGCACGCCTTTAATCCCAACACTCTGGAGGCAGAGGTAGGCGGATCTCTGAATTCTAGGCCAGCCTGGTCTACAGAATGAGTTCCAGACACCCTGTCTCAAAAAACCAAAATAGACAGACAAACAGAAACAAAAAGAAGAATACAGCATGTAGCAAGTGTGCTCTTGGGCTTCCTGTCGACCCTACTTCCCAGATACAGAATGGATGCAGCAAGAAATTTGGCAGCTTTCATGACTTCTACATATGTGCTCTTGGCCTACAGATTATACCACCAGGCTTGTTCTCCGCCTTTCTGGGCTTGTTCCTCCTGACTCCCATATGGATCTTGTTCCACCAAGGCACAGCCCATTGGTCATGACTCTTGCAGAATGCACAAAACCAAGTCACTAACTATATTTTATTGTGTTGCCTACCTATCTTCATGAGGGTAGAATGTTCTACCAGAGTGACATCCAGCCAGAGAGGAAATCTGTAGGGTTTCTTTCCTTTTCTACAAGGAATGACCAGCTTCCTCAAGTCATTGGCTGTAAGATGAGCTAAAATAGCCTTAATTGATATGGCCATTACAGAAAATAGCACAGAAGTTCTCAAAAAATAAAAATTAGGGCACTTAAGAGATGGTTCAATGGTTAAGAGCATTTGCTGTTCTTCCAAAGGATTAGAGTTTGGCTAATCCACACCCACATCGAGCTCACAGTCACCATTAACTCTAGTTCCAGGTGCTCTGATGTAGGCACTCCACTCTACATGCACACACACACAAAGACAGACAAACATACACATAAATAAAAATAAATAATAAACCTGTATATTCGCTGTATAGACCGCTATTTACTGGGCATTGTATACTGTAGCATGAATAATAACAACCCAGAGACAGATATTAGGGTTCAAGTTGAAGGTCAGAAAAGCAAAGCGTCAGCCATTTGAGAGCTCTCGTCTCTGCCAAGGCTCAGACAAACAAAGGGGCAATCCTGTCCTCAATGTGGCTGCAGACTGCAATGCTCTCCAGCAAAACTCAAACTGCAGACTAAGACACTGAACTCCTGTCTCCTCCCATTTTATATTCCTCTCTAGTGCTGGGATTAAAGGCATGCATCACCACTGCTCAGCCTCTATTGCTAACTAATGTGGCTGCTGAGATTAAAGGGATGTGCCACCACTGCCTGGCCTGCATGACTGGCTAGTGTGGCTGGCTTTGCACAGCCTAAAAGTGCCATTTGAAGCCCTAGAGGAGCATCACACAGAACCGGCTCTGCTTCCTCAGCCCCTCCTGTGGGTAGAGGGGGACACATGGTGGAATTAAGCAATGCTTGGGAAAGTCAGGAGAGCATCCTTTACAAGCAGCTTTTCTCTGTCTAGATCTTGGCAAACCTGGGTCATGTTTGTTAGGGGAAGGCTAGGACCTCTAGACTAAGACAGACAAACAGTCCTCTACAAGGAAGGCCCAGTAATCAGATGGATCTACTGTGACTACTAATAGGGTTTGCAGGAAGAAGGCAAGACAGACAGGCCCTCCCTTCAGCCTTGGTGACCATGAGAGTTTAAAATACGCATCAGGGGAGGGGAGATGGTCCAGTCAGTAAAGGGTGTGCCACTCAAGCATGAGGAACTGGGGCTGGAGAGATGGCTCAGAGATTAACAGCACTGACTGCCTCTCAGAGGTCCTGAGTTCAATTCACAGCTACCACATGGTGACTCACAACTATGTGAATGAGATTTGGTGCCCTCTTCAGGTCTGAAGGCATACGTGCAGGCAGGATATTGTATACATATAAATAAATAAATCTCTTTTAAAAAATGATGAAGCGGAAGAGGGAAAGCGGCCGGGTGGACTCGAGGAGCCGCAGGGAGCAGCGGCGCTCCATGAGTGATCTTTGGGACCCGGGAACGGAGGCAACTGGGAGAAAGACGGGGAAGTTGGAGGGAGACACGAAGACGCAGGATTGCAGCTCGATTACTGATGACTTTCCCTAAAGTTGTTTCCCTCTCTTGGGGACAAACGAAAGTGCAAGGCTCTACCTCAACCTACAAGGATTGCAAAGTATGGTGGGGAGGCAGTCGGGCTTGGGACCTGAGAGAAACAGGAACTGAGCATTCCCTTGGGGTTCAGCCTACAGATGTGAAGGAAGTTGCTGAGAAGGGTGTGCAGACCCTGGTGATCGGCAGAGGGATGAGTGAGGTCTTGAAGGTGCCGCCATTCACTGTGGAGTACCTTGAGAAACAAGGCATCGATGTACGGGTCCCCCAGACAGAGCAGGCGGTGAAGGGATCAGAGTAGGAGGTGTCTTCCAATCCAACTGCTGATGGAGCCCACGGAGAACAAACCACTAAGCAACGATGCCTTGACTGTCTCTCCTACCGTTCTCTACAGCAGCCTCCACTGTGCGTTCTGAGCATGGGTTTATGTCTTGGGATAGATCGACAGAAGACTAAAGCAGAGTTCCTGCCCTTCAGGTTGCTCAGATCAGATCAGAAAGCTGTTAACTGGAATTCAAAGCTTGAGAAACTTCATACAAAAAAAGGTTAGAAAAGTACAAAGCATTAAAGGTCTCATCATGGTTGAAGAAAAAAATGATGAAGCATTCAGACCTGCGTTTATAACCCCAGTGCCCATGTGAAAAGCTGGCTGCAGCAGCATGTTCCTATAATCCCAGTGCTGGGGACACAGGGGGATCCCTGGAGCTAATTGTCCCGCCAATAGAGCCTGTGGTAGTTTGAATGGAATTGACCGCCATAAATTCATAAGGAGTGGCACTATTGGGAGGTATTGCTTTGTTGGAGTATGTATGGCCTTGTTGGAGGAAGTGTGTCACTGTGGGGGTGGGCTTGGAGGTCTCATATATGCTCAAGCCACACCCAGAGTCTCAGACCATTTCCTGTTGCTCCTTCTCCAACACCATGTCTACTGCATGCTGCCATGTCCCACCATGATGATAATGGACTGAACCTCTGAAAATGGAAGCCACCCTGAGAGACCCAGGCTCCAGCAGATCTGTGATCCATAGCTCTAGCACTATCCATGAGCACCCTAGCACCAAGTCCGCAGTCAGTGAAAGAAACACACCCTGGATCTGGGACCTGAGCCCGTGAAAGAAACACTTTATCCCTGAACCCAGAGTCAGAGAAAAACTCCCTGAGTCTGAAATCAGAGACAAAAGAACACACTTTGTACCTAAAATCAGAGCCTGTTAAAGAAATTCACCCTGACCTGAAAATTGGATCCAAAAAGCTAAAAGAACCAGAAGGAAAAAAAACACAGTTTGGCCCTGAACTCAGAGCCATCTCTGCCCTTGACACAAAACCAACCAATCCCTGTGCAGGAAAAACCAACCAATCCCTGAGTAGGAAAGTCTAGAGGCATGACCTCTCCATACCTCAGCCTAGGGAAGTAGTAGCCCTAGCTTAGAGATGTACCATGACATTTTCTGGACCTTTGCCCAGAGTGGGCAGCCAATCCTAAGCCTGTAGGCTTGGAAATTCCCCAAGCCTTCCCCTCTATAAAAACCCCTCCCCATCCTGCTTGGGGGTCTCTTCTCCTCTGCTCCTGTTGTTACTTTTGCTGCTGCTCCAGATGATGATAAAGTTAACTCATGATAAAGTCTCTTTGCTTTTGCATCTGATTCAGTCTTGTGGTGGTATTTCAGTGTTCAGGTCTTTGGGCATAACAACCCCAATCAAGCTTTTCCTTTATAAGATTTACAATGGTCCTGGTGTCTCTTCACAGCAATAGAAACCCTAACTAAAACAGAAGTTGATTCCAGGGACTGGGTTATTGCTGTGATAGGCCTGACCATGCTTTTGTGGGAAGGAATCCATATTCCTTGAAACTATGCATTAGAAAAGCAGTTGAACTTTTAAGTGCTGCAATTAGGAGCATGGAAGACAGTGGTGCTGAGTGTGGTTTTCACTGGGGGTGCCTGAATCAAGTGGTTTCAGGAGAGAAGAATGATAGTATGTAGCCAAGAGACAGGTCTTGTGATATTTTGGTGAAGACTGTGAAAGTCTGCCTGAGGCTAAAGTGAAGAGTTTTGGATAAATTCTGTTAAAAGAGAAAGTCTCAAAATAGCCTAGTATAGACTCTGTCATGTGGTTATTAGTGTTAACTCTGATGAAGACTTAAAATGAAAAGGAGAAAGCTGAGCAAGGAAAAATAGCAAATGTAAGATCTGAGGACAATAGGGGCACCAGGAAGTAAAATGGAGTTAAGTCCTGTGCTATAAGAGGTCACTTGTTTGTTCCCAGCTTCCCAGACCTGGAATAATCACTCAAAAACTATATCATTTGAATCACTGCTTGGCATATTTCTAGCTAGCTCTTATGTCCTGAACTAACCCATCTCCATTAATCTGTGTATCGCCACATGGCTGTGACTTACCAGGTGAAGTTCCACCCAGTGTCTGGCATCTGCCTCCGGCAGGGATACATGGCTTCTCCTGACTCTGCCTTCTTTCTCCCAGCATTCAGTTTAGTTTTCCCCACCTAGCTCTACTTTGCCCTATCACAGGCCAAGCCAGATTCTTTATTAGTAAACCAATAAAAGCATCACATATACAGAAGCTTCCCACACCAGTCCTGTGTTCAAGGATATAAACAGATTAAGAAATAGAACTAAATGGGGTGGTGACCTCACAAGATCCCACCCAGCTAAATTTACAATTTGTGAAAATGAATTCAAGAAAAGCTTAAACCCAGGTGTGGTAGTGCATACCTTTAGTCCCAGAACTCAGAATGAAGGAGCTGGTGGTTTCAGGCCAGCCGGTTCAAGGCCAGAGCAAGTTCTTCTGCATCCTGGTTTGAGGCCAGAGCAAATTCTAGGACAGCCAAGTCTAGGCAGTGAAGGAAACCATAGAAAACAGAAAGCTGGTGAAGATGTAATTGAACAAGGGGGCCATGTTCCATCCCTAGTAAGCAGCAGAACTTGGCAGGTTTGGTCATGTGGTTCTGGCTTTAGAGTCAAGGATAGAAGAAAGGGGTTGTGGAACTCCCTCCATGACTAAGGAAAGCCACTAAGGCCAATTATGTATTGGGGTGTCCCTGCATGGAGGCATAGAGAGGCCACTGTGTGAAGTCTTGAAGTTGAAGCCTGAATTGCCTCAGAGGCCCCAAGATGCTGGAGATGCCAGAGCCACGGGATACTGCTGAGAAGAGCTGCTAGCAGGGAGTGGAACAAACCCAAGAGAGAGAAGTGTGTCACAGTCAACAAAGTCGAAAGAAGTTGGAGATCTAAGGAGTGTTTTGACAGCAGACATGGAGATGCAGGGTTTGGAGTTTCCTAGCTTCTTTTGGTCTTACTTTGGTCCAGTATTTCTTCCTTTTGCCCCTTCCCTACATTTTGGAGTGGTAATGTGTATTTTGTACCATTATATGTTGGAAGTATGTGATCTGTTTTTTATTTTATTTTATAGGGGATTACAGTTAGGAGATTACATGAATCTCAGAAGTGACTTTGAACTTTGGGCTTTAAACATTGTTGAGGCTATGATAGACTACAGGAACTTTTGGGGTTAGACTAAATGTATTGTTACAAGTTTATGGGCCAGGGAGTGGAATATGGTAGTTTGAATGTACTTGGTCTCTGTAAACTCATAGGGAATGGCACTATTAGGAGGTGAGGCTTTGTTGGAGTAGGTATGGCCTTGTTGGAGGAAGTGTGTGAGCTTGGAGGTCTCATATATGCCCAAGCCACACCCAGTATCTCAGACCACTTCCTGTTGCCAGCAGGATTAAGATGTAGCTTCTTCTCCACTCTTAGCTCCTTCTCCAGCATTATATCTGCTTCACACCACCATGCCCTACCATGATGATAATGAACTAAACCTCTATAATGGAAGTCACCCCAATTAAATGTTTTCCTCTATAAGAGTTGCCATGGTCATGATGTCTCTTCACAGTAATAGAAACCCTAAGACAGAGCATAATCAGTGAGCTCCAGTTTCAGAGAGAGACCCTGTCTCAAAATTTAAGGTGGAGGGGCTAGAGAGATGGATGGCTCTGTGGTATAGAAAGTTTATTGCTTTTGCAGAAGAACCAAAATCAATTCCTAGCACCCACACAGTAGCTTACATCTTTAACTTCGGCTCCAGTTGTATCTGGTGCCCTATTCTGGCTTCTATATGTACTACAAGCACATGGTGTACAGTCAAGAGTGCAAGCAAAGCACACATAAGATAAAAATAAATAAATCTTTTTTTAAAAACTTAAAGTGGAGTCTGGCAGTGGTGGCACATGCCTTTAATTCCAGCATTCGGGAATCAGAGAAAGACAGATCTCTGTGAGTTCAAGGCCAACCTGATCTACAGAGCAAGTTCCAGGACAGTCAAGGCTACAAAGAAAACAGTAGTCTTAAGGTGGAAAGCAATTGTAACTCCAGCTCCAAGGGGTCCAGCATTCTCTTCTGGATTCTGAGCACTCTCGGGGCTCCTCTCCAGCACCCTGATTAAAGTTTTTTTTTATGTTGCCAGGCAGCTCTTGTGTGACCTAGATTTGCTTGCTCACTAATGCTGTGGACAGATGGTGGCTACAGTAGCTGTTAGGGCTGACCTGGTTCCATCCCTACATCTGGATCTTGGCTGTTGGTGACCTCTTTTTTTTTATTTTGGTAATGATGATAATAGCTTTTTTTGTAGCCCTGATATCCTGAAACTCTGTAGACTAGATTAGCCTCAAACTCAGAGATCAGCCTCCTTTTTCCTCCCAAGTGCTGAGATTAAAGGTGTGCACCACTAGCTGGCTGGTGGTGGCACACACCTTGAGAAGCAGAGGCAGGCAAATCTCTATGGGTTTGAGGCCTGCCTGGTCTACAAAAACTAGTTCCAGGACAGGCTCCAAAGCTACAGAGAAACCTTGTCTTGGAAAAAAACAATGGGTGTATACCACCTGATATGGATGTTGGAACTGCACTCTGGTCCTAATGATAGAACAGCATGCTTTTAATCAATAAATTTTAACTCCAAACTAAAATACTTCTTTAAAAAAAAAGAAAAGAAAGAAAATACATATGTATATTTATATGTATATACTTATATGGTGGAGAGTATCAAAGAAGACACCTAACAACAACCTCGGGCTTAACCATGCATGTGCAAGTATATGCACATGCATGCACACTTATATGAACATGCATACACACACACACAAAGCAAGCAGAAACAATGGCTAATCTTGAGCCAGGAGTGTGATGCACACCTTCGATCCCAGCACTTGGGAGGCAGAGACAAGCAAATCTCTGAGATCTTGGTCAGCTTGGTCTACAGAGCAAGTTCCAAGACAGCTAAAGCT